CATCCATCCATCCATCATCCATCCATCCATCATCCATCCCAGGTACTTCTCTGCACTGAGGAAGGAGCACTGGAGGTGCCTCAGCCTGTCAAAGCCTAAAGATTCCTGAAAATGGGAAGCTGAATTGCTGTGTTATTCTCAAAGGTGTACCTTGAATCTCCTCTTTTTTAAGAAAGCTGAACTGAGGAGATTGGCAATTTGGTCTTTCCCATATTTAGATTCTTTTCAAAGGTTTCTACAGCAGAATAAAGTTCCCTTTCCATCACCTCAGTGTTACTGGACTCTTGGGTTTGTTTCTTTCCTTCCAGAATTGTAACTCTGGAGTAATTTACCTGAAATCACTGATGTCCATGTAATAAAACCAAACTCCTATTTTCTTCAGATACACCACGATTTTTGAGTCAACTGTTGACTGAGGAGGGCAGGCTAAATCTCAGATGCAAATATTTCAGGATTCCAGGCTGCTTAGGTAAGGTCTAAGTGCAGCTATAGGCTCCTACTGCAGATTTGGATCTGAATGGGAACCTAAATATGGAATTTCAGCATATGCCATCTCCATGGCTTCTGTTGAACATCCTTATGTGATTTGCTACACTGTGTTTAGAAGTGACAACTGAAATGTGGTCCATGTTATGCATCTAAAAATGCAATGGGTCTAATTTTATACTGCAGAGAGGGTGAGGTAAAATGGTACTGTATCAAATACACTGAATTTTTCTTCTGCCATGCCTGGGGTAACCAAGAGTAGTGCAGAACACAGCCCATGAAATCAAAAGTGAGCAGTTTTCTGATGATAATAATGAAGTAAAAAGGTGATGCTGCTTACTTTTCAAGGTCTTGACACATTGCAAAACAGACAAAAAAAAGAATTGCCAAAAATGTAACTGTCTGCAGAGATCTCTGGGGCAGGAACATTTTCTCTCTTCTTTAAATCAGCTCCACAGGACCAGAAGCTGATGGTGTGATCAGAAATCTTTTCCTCTGTTCTTGCTTTCACCTGACAAAACGAATTTCAGCCTTTAAGCAGAGGTGAGCACTGTGCTGTGGTAAAACATCCCAGGACCTCCCATATCATCCCAGATCTGTGGATTTGTAACATATACCAGGGAAAGACAGATAGGATTTACAGGGTATGTCTACATTTCCTTGCTTAGAGTCCTAAATCTCCTTTCCCACTGTTGCCTATTGATAGAACATTTTCAACTCTTGTGCATTTGCAAGCACAGAAAATTATTTCAGGACTTGGAAGAGAC